GAGTAACTGTGTGCTTTCCTCCGGTGTTAGACGATGTTACGGCTTTAAAACAAAACAGCAAATCCCCACAAGACTTCCTTAATGTTTTTCTTTTTCTATTTATTCATTTATTTATTGGGTAACGCTCGAAGCGATGCCGGGAACGCGTTGTGTAACAGCAGCCTGGTGGGAGCTGTGCGAGGTGTTCGGTTGGTAAGGGGCACGAATCAAGGTTCTCCTCCTCTCAGCTGTAGCACTGCAGTGCCTCAGGTCCCCCGGTGCGGGCGATGGGCGCTGTGGCTGTGCTCCATCCCAGGGTTGGCAGCGTGCTCCTTCTCCAGCTTGGGCCTGGTTGGTTGGGGCTCAACAGATGTGGTCCACCAGCTGACATGTATCTCTGCTGTTAAACAGTAATTGTGGTGAACAGGAGGTTGTTACTGTTTCCTTTTTTCCTTTCTAAGTAAGAAACTCTTCATGTTAAAAAAGTATGGGAAGAACATACAGATGCGCTGATCTGCTTGCTGGGCGTTTAATTGGGTTCTGATTCCTAAGTTTCTCATCTGGGACTATAGTATTGCATTACGTGTCTTACTCTGAGTGAGGTCAGCGTGTGTATGTGTGTGTGTGTGTGTGTTAAGACCTTGAGTTGACTCTGTATTTGGGCACACAGGTCCTCCTGGGCTTTTTTTGTTGATGAAACTTGTAAACCTGAATGTGCAGTCTTTCTGCAATATTGGTTAAAATGGATTTTTTTTCTCCATAAGTTAACACCTTTGTTTTTATGTATCCGTTTCATTTTCCATTTTAATTAAAATGTAGATTTTTGAGTTTGTTTCCCAACTGACCAAACCGTCTGTGGACTTTCAGATTTCGCGAATAGATCTCTTTTTCACCTGACAGGTTTCACACTTCAAAATGCTTATCTGTATGGCCGTCACTGTGTTCAGATCTCATAATCCTTTTCAGCAATGTAACTTGATCAATAGGTGAATGACCTGTTGTTTTCATGTCAGTGTGATACATGTGCTGAGGAGCAAGAGGTGAAGCTGAACAGCCTGAGCTGTGCTCTGCTCTTAGGAAACTGCAGCCAGGGTTGCAGAAAGTGTTTCTACCACTAGCTTATTATATGTTTTAACTAAAATCTGTTGTGGCACATGATTTCCAAAACTTATTAGAAAGTAAAAATGAAAAAGTCATGGATTCAATTCCTGTTGGGAGAGGTGTTCCCTGTTCCGGTTCCTGGAAAGCAGTGTAAGGATGCGTGTGTTCACCAGCCTCTCTGAGGAAGAGCCCTTGCAGGCCTTCCTGTCCAGTAGGGTGGGGGGATTTGTGATATTTGCAGTTCGGTTCATATAATTTCTGGTCTTGGCCTTTCTGCAGGGTGCTTCACTATGATTTAAGGTAGAATACTTGGAAAGAAAAAAACAAAAAAAAACACACACAGCAGGAACTTCTTTGATTCTTGCATTTGAAAAGGCTTTTGGCTGCCATAACTTTCAATCCTTGCATATTTTGTGTCTCTGGTGTACTTGTATGGGAACTGCAGCAGTAGGTGCTGCTGGGGGTAGAGTTCTTGTTGCTGCCCTGTGCAGTGCCACTCAGAATAGCCAAGTTCCTTTGGATGCCTTGGAGAGGCACCACCAATGCTGTGCTCCTGTCAAAAGGGTGGCATTCTTATGTTTTAACTCTACTGCAGGGAGTATTGTATGAGCATCAGTTCTTCAGACCTGTGATGTGCTTGAAGTGAGATAAGCTCCAAGGTTTTTTTCCCCTTGGTTATGGTATAACTTGAGCACTTCTCTGATCTTCCTGCATGGGACTTTGTTTACCTCTTGCTGGTATTGCTGGAGTAGTGTTTCTCATTTTTTAGCTGAAATAATGAAAATTCATTAGGGAAAATAAGCTGTTCTGCAGGCTGCAAAAGAGCCTGCCTAGGCCTTACACAAGCTCTGGGATCATGAGGCATTTTTTTCTGTGTCCTTTGGGCATGGAACAAAGGTATGGATGTCAGAAACAGTTGAATGCAGTTGCCATTTACAGTACTTACATTCAGAAGCTCAAAGTAGTTTTGTTTTGTGTTTTTTTTTTTTTTTTTTTTTTTACTCATACGAATTTTATTTTTCTGTGGGTTTAAAAGCTGAGAAATGCTGCTGGCAAGTGTTGTTGAGTTAATGAAAAAAGGCATGGACCTCTGAGCTAGGAGCAGTTTTCCTTATCAGAGATGTTTCGTTGTGTGCGTACAATCTCAGGATGCTTTGTTGTTTGCATTAAGTTGGTGCTTTTTCCAAAGCTGCTAAACCTGTGATAAATGAATGATGAAAATGCTCTAGATAAAATCACAATTACTTCTCATGTAGAGAACACCAGCTTATGCTATGCTTAGGCTTTTTTTTTTCTTCTTCTTCTTCTTCATACTCTGCTTGTATGTAGTGGTTATCAAAATGGTGTTTTTCTGACTAGGTGTCTTGATGTTGTAGGTGTATTTTTCTGTGGTCTTTGGGAAGCTGCAGTCCCTGCCCATTTCAGCTGGGTGATGTCTGTTTGCCACCCCCTGCGTAAGTGCAGAAGGTGCCGACTGGGAAGTAGGGCTGCAGGGTTGTTCATTCACTCCCCAAGCAAGGGAAGGCTGTCGGCAAGTCAGGGGAGGCCAGCACTCAGTTATGCATGGGGACTTCTGTCAGAATGAGCCTGGGCTGTAAAGGCTTTTGTGAGTAGGTGAAACCATGGCTGCCTTAATGGTCTCTCCTTTAAGTGATTCGTAAACGTATATTACAGGGGTTTGTGTGTACAGAACTGCCTTAAACATGACATATCTGCCTTTAACATGATTTTAGGAAGCTCTTACTCTGGGTCATTTATGACATGGGTATTTAATCTTGTAGCAGACGGATATTGGTTATCTTATGGTTAATGAAATGCTGTAACTGCTTTAGGGCATGGCAGTATTTTGAGACAGAGTGTGTTCTAGTTTGATCTGTTAGTATTTCTAGTAGATTTTTATTACACTGACAAAAATTGATGTCTGGAAATTCAGAGGCTTAAGCAGAACCTAGAGTGAGTGTGCCCTCCCTGTAATGGTCCTGTGACAGGTTGCTGAGTGCTGTAGGGAGCCTGCTTTTGAGGATGGGGAGCTAAGTCATCAGAAAACTGATACAGCTGAGCAAGTGCTCCAGTGCTCCATCCTGTGCATGCTCTTCCTTCTCCCTGGAGCCACTGCCTGTGGCTGGACACCTCATACACAGGGCAATATGTGACCTGCTCCTCTCACTGTCACCTGCCTCCTCAGCAGCACCAAGCCAAGGTGATTCTTGGTTCTTTCTCCAATGTCCAGGGTCATTAAACTGGAATAAAAACATTGATGGTAATCTTGCTGCCCTGGCTTTATGGTTTTGTGAGCAAATCTTGAGCAGTGGCAAAGGGTTAACTCAGGTCTGTGTGGAACTGAGGGAGCATTCTGAACAGCTTTAGTGCTGAGCACGTCTGGTTAGGTGTGCCTGCTTTCCCTTGTGCTCAGAGTTGTCGTGCACCAGTTGAGACTTGTTCTAAGTGTGCATGCATTCCTTTATTCTTCAGGCAATGGACCAAGAGAAAACTTCAGTAGTTAACGTGAAGTGCAGCAGTATTGTGGTCTTCCAAGTAGATTTTAAGTTTTGATTTGGATTGTTTCAGTAAATATTGTAAAACTGTGGGATGTCTTGCTCACCTTCCTGCTTTTGTTTGTTTGTTTGTTTGTTACCTCTGCCTTAGGCTAAGCCATGACTTCAGGATGTGGGCATGTGGACTCCCAAGGCTGAGCTCACTACTTTGCTTGAGCAATGGGAGAAAGAACACGGCAGTGGGCAAGATATGGTTCCTATTCTCACCAGGTGAGTTCCATAAAATAACTTCTGATATTCAGATTTAGGAATTTGCTTGAGAGCAGTTTTTACTGTGTTGTTTGCTTGAAGGTTTTTAATAACTGGTTAACTGTTGGTAATTAAGTTATCCCTGGCCTGAAATTTGAACGGTGAGTGTAGTACTTAAATGCATACAAGCTTACTAAGCATTTATATTGCAAAAGGTCTTACACAGTCTACCTGTAAACGTGGATTTAATACTCTGAAATAGTAGAAACTGATGGAATCATTAAACAAGTGAAATAAATTTGGTATGTTCTTCTGAAACTTGTAATTTGTTGATCAAAATAGAAAGCTGTGAGAATGTGGTTCCATTGGAGTGGTGGTGTGGGGTTTGTAATTGCACTGATGCTGGGCAGTTTATGTGAAAGTAAGAGAGAGACACATTGGATGGAGGGAGCCTTACTGAAAAAATTTTACTGCAACTCATACAGCATGCTTAAAGGGAAATTTCAGAAGTTGATTTTTTTTTTTTTAACTGGACATTTTAACGTTGCCGTGTTATTGTGTGAGGAAAATATTCCCTGGGATGTTTCTAGGTATGTATGTGCTAGTAACACCATTCATTATAGGAAGTCTTCTACAAGAGGATTATTTAAAGTATCAATTGTAGTTGTGGTTTCCCAGGCCAGACCTCTCTTACGCAATCTTGTAATGTTCTTGGTATAATAAGGCAGTCACAGGAATTCCACAAAGTTCCTCCTCCCACCTCTACTGTCAGAGCTGTTGTCTGTGTGGTGTGTGCCTGAAGGGCTTACTGTGCTCACTGGTGCGTTAGAGCAGCCCAGGTTTCTGTACCATGCTGCTCTGTGTTCTTGGGTCAGGTACCTTAGTGCACAGATCCTGAGCTGGCACTGGGTAGAAATGACAGAAATGTACTGGAGCTTCTTCGCGCAGACCCGTGTTATGCCTCACCTTGCAGGCACAAATGCTTGCTTTTTATACTGCTCCTTAGAAATAACAGTGCAGAAGAGAGAGATGAGCTGCAAAAAGCCAAAGCCAAGTGTTTAAAAATGAGTAGGTCTCTTGAAAATCCTGAGCCGTATTTTGGTGCATCTGTGTGTACTGTTGTCTGGTTTGTGTATTGACGGAAGCATATGTGCTGCTTCCAAGATTTTTGTCACAATGACGAACACCAGAAATTTAATGTGTTCTAAGAAATTTAAATTCAACATGCATTTTGTTGCATTGATAGAGGTTTGGAACTCCTCGAGTTCCTTCCATTCTTTGGGCCTAAGCAAATCTGATAATCCTCCTTTGGTTCTCTAAGGTTTCTGTACAGCAAGGAGAGAGTTGATGGATAGTAAGAGCTTAGGTATTTTGGCTGTGGTGTAGGTAACAGGTCTACTTAAGGTTGATAGTGAGGAGATGTACCCTTGGCTCTAGCAGGTTTTACAGTGCTTCTGAGAAAAAAAGAGAAAGCTATATATCTGTCTGGAATACAAGGTCTTAGATACTGCATAGGTTAAGAAGAATTTGCTGGAAGATGTGCTAGGAATCCTCCCCAAGTGGAGCTTGTGTTAGCTGATGTCTGGAGATAGCAGTGCTCTTGCGTATTGATTTAGGCTTATGGCAGAGGAAGCTGTGGTCATGTTTGTTTGGTGAGTGATGTTTTTCTACTTCCTTGTGCCTTCTAAGTTACTTGGAAGAAAACTTCTCTTTGTGCATGGGTGCCTGCTAAAATGTGATTCTGATTCAGCAGAGGTCAGAGTGTGACACAATGGCAGGAGCACGGTGTTTTGACTTCAGCTCCACAGACCAAATATGGGGTATGGTATGTTGCAGTGTGGTATTGCAGAGCATCCTGTCTGTAGTCTGTCATAAAGGCACCGCTTTATATTGTGCCTTTTGCATCAGTGGTAGTGTTGCAACTTGAGTGTCCCCACAACCTCCTTCTTTGACTTCAAGTGAGCCATGTTTCTGGCAAGTGAAAGTGAGAATATGACCAATTTTCAAAGGTGATCTGCAGGGATAGTTGTAAACAATTTGGGGGAAAAAAAAGAGTCCAAAGTGGGGGGAAGAACACCTGTCCCTCATGTAGTACCTAGATCTTGCTTGCAAACTCAAGTGGATAGGGAGCTAGCTTAATATCAAGTGAATAAAGGAAATGTTGAAACCTGCATAAAAGATCAGCATTTGTGTGTTTGTTCTTTTTGTTTTTTGTTGTTAAAACCTTTTGTGTCAGTGCCTGTGTTAAGAGGTGAGAATGAGCTTTGGTAGTTTGTCAATTCTCAGTAAAAATGGTAGGAGAGTGGAATAAGCCATAGATGCATCCAAGCCACTTCATAGTTACTCTTTGTGTGCTTTCAGTCAAAAAAATTTTTTTTTTTTTTTTTTTTTTTTTATTTCAAAGCCAATTTTGAAGAGGCAGTGCTTTTATATTTTGGTCAGATGATTGCGCCTAGTTGTCTCAAAATAAACGCAACCATCCAAATCAGATAATCAGTGATTTGTATGCCTGTTTCATCTAGGCTGTGATAATGTTGTTGTCCTTAGAACCACTCAGAAGCTTCTGCTGGCATGCTCTTTGGCTGCCTCCCTAATCTGCATGGGCTGAGGAGAGTGCTCAGCTCACTTTCCGTGCTGCTTGTCAGTCCCTCCTGGCATGTACTCAGTATGCCAATTATCACCTAAAAAGACCTAGCACCTGCCTAAACTGAATAGGAAAGTGGGCAGAGTTGCTTGTTTAGGGCTTATCCCACTCCAGAAGAGGAACTGTAAGGTGAAGGGTACTGCTTAAATTCCTATTTCTTGTAATTCTCTACAGTATCTGTTGTAGACATCACCAGGACTCTAACATGAGTAAATAAGCAGTATTGACTCCTTCAGAGCATCACACTTGAGTGCCACTGGGATGCTGATAAGGTCTCAGCATGTTTTGATGGGCTGGTGGGGAATGAGGTACCAGAGGGCAAGGCTCTTTATTAACCCTTCTGGGTGAACCATCTGAAATCCTCTGGTAGTGCTGAATGCCATTCAAATGAAAGCTGATAAGCTGTTTGATAGCACTGTAACAATAGGCTAACGTGAGGAGTTGCACGTCGGGGCAGGACGGAGTGGATTATGCTCGTTTTATGTCGTTCCTTCTATAGGATGTCTGAGTTGATTGAGAAGGAGACTGAAGAATACCGCAAAGGGGATCCAGACCCTTTTGATGACCGACACCCTGGTAAGGCATTCTGAGTGGTTTTGATAGCTCTGCATCAGCTGATACATGATAATTCATGTTTAAAAGTAAGCAAAATCTAGCCTGAATCTGTTCACTACTGATCAGGGTCTGGTGTGACTAGTACACCTTTTAAGTAGGTAATTGCAACTAGAGGAAACACTAACTTGATGAATAATGCGTATGGCTTCTATAATTCTGTTTCTGATAAAGGTACAGCTAACTACATTATTCCACAGTCAGTCGGAAGTTAGTAGTTCAGTATTGAAGTCTTGAGGTACATAGATAAGTCTTTTCCTGTTTCCTCTATAGGTCGAGCGGACCCTGAGTGTATGCTTGGTCACCTGCTAAGGATACTTTTCAAGAATGATGATTTCATGAACGCGGTAGGTTTGCTCTAAGGACTGTACCTGTCAAGTCTTCTTGACACTTTAATATTTTTGTTTTCTGTTATTTACCTCTGTACTTGTGCTTGTTTAATATTAGTTTTACTGGTGGTGGGACTATTTCTTCCATAACAGTGGCTTTTAAAGTCTGTTTAAATACAGCTTGTTTGCTGCTCTAGAGTGACCCAAGGAAAGGGGTAGTTCATGAGCTATTCAAGAGTACTGGAATACACGTATTAATGATCGAATTAGTTCTTCTCAGCATTTATCAGTCTCTTTAAAGAAAGTGTAGGTCCTGTAATAAAAGTTTAAAATCCTAATTAATTTCTGTAATGGAAATTAATACCACTAATTCCCGTGCTTTTTCTTTGAATACTTGGGAATGCTGGAGTGCCTGTACAGGCAGAGTGTATCTAGCTCTAGTAGGCTCAGGCAGAGCATTTGGAGAAAAGAGCCTGGCTTTCCTCTTGCAATGCTCTACCCTTTCATGAGTTAATAGCCAGAATTTTTTTCTGGCTTTCTCTCATCTCAGCGCACCGCCTGTATCAGTGCATGCTGCTGCAAGGTTTCTGCCAGATTGCTTACGTGGGGCTTTCTGTCTTAAACTGCAGTTGATAAGCAAAAATGTATGTATTTGATTTTGTAATGTTTTTTTTCAGCTATTACTCTCACATGATTACACTGTTAGTGAGCTGTAATTATTTTAGGCATTTGTCTTTACAAATCAGTTCAAGAAAAGTATTTAATCAGTGAACGTCAGATCAGAGGGGGATTCTGTTTCTCGGAGAAGTTACTTCAACTCCTGAATTTTAAACTGATGCTTTTCCTGATCTTCTCTAGCTAGTGAATGCTTATGTGATGACGAGCAGAGAACCTCCATTAAACACTGCTGCCTGCAGACTTCTTCTGGATATCATGCCAGGACTGGAAACTGCTGTTGTCTTTCAGGAAAAGGTATCTTGTATACTAAGGTTTAGTTTATAAGCTTGGTGTATTATGTACTCCAACAGTTCACCCCATAGGAGAAACCAGTAAAAAGCAACATTTAAATCCTATCTCTGGGAGACAATCTGTTTAGCCTCGTTAAAGGTTTGGGGCTTTCTAATGTGGGCTTGTTCAGCTGATCAAATCTTAAGTATTCCACAGCTTGTAAGTTATAAGAGGACTGATTCAAACAGAGGAACTGGAATTATGTATGATACGTTCAGCATATCTGTGGGATGGGAGGCCATGCAGAGAGATCTAGACAGGTTTGTGCAGTGGGCCTGGGGGAACCTCATGAAGTTCAACAAAGCCAAGTGCAAGGACTGGCACCTGGTCATGGCAACCCTTACTATCAGTACAGTCTGACGATGTGAGGATGGAGCAGCTCTGTGCTGGTGAGACGTGGAGTATTGCATCCATATGTGGGAGTCCTCAGTACAGAAGGGAATGTGTCTGGAGGAGGACCTGAAAAATGGCCCAAGGGATGGAACACCTTCCCTGTGAGGACAGGCTGAGAGAACTGAAACTGTTCAGCCTGGAGAAGGTTCTGGGGAGACCTGACAGCAGCTTATCTGTATCTGAAGGAGTGCTGTGAGAAAGAAGGGTGCAGACTCTTTAGTGGGATCAGTTGTGATTGGACAAGAGGAAATAGTTTCAAATTAAAAGAGGGGAGATTTAGATTGGACAAAATAGTTTCTTACAATAAGGACCATGAAGCACTGAACAAGTTGTCCAGAAAGGTGTTGAATACCCTGTCCATGGAGATGTTCAAGAATAGAGCTCTGAGCAACCTCATGTAGCTAAAGGGTGTCCGTGTTCGTTGCAGGGGAGTTAGACTAGATGACCTTTAAATGTTCCCTCCAGCTCAAATGATTTATAATTTAAATTAATGTTTTGGGAAATGTTATATTTAAGTTGTTATTTTATAGGTCCATGAGTGAAGCAGGCAGAATAGAATGTTAAGACTTGCTGTAAGCTTGTCACCTGGTAATCCCTACTGCATCAGAGTGATAGTATTATTCAAGCTAAATGATGAGCAAGTCATAATTCAAGCAATCTAAAGCCTGTGTGCTTCATGGAGATTATCTAGAACTGTTATGGACAGCTAAATTCAGCTTCTGTATGTTGGCAAGTGTGGTTTATGTAGGAATGCACAAAGGGTTGAAAGCGAGGAGAAAGCAGATTTTGTTCCTGAGCCCTGCTATCTTCATCTTTAAAAATAAATTAATATAGTATTTTTCTAAAGTCTGGAAATCAGGTAGTGCTTCATGTGGAAGTTTCACTTGAGTTCCTTTACTATTAGAAATAGAGATATGGATTCTAAAGTGTGGTAAGAAGAGGGAATCATGCATATCCTTTCTGAAGTATTGAATTTAATATGGTATTTTTGCAATCTGCTTAAAATCTAAGGCTTTGACCCAAAGAAGTTAAAAGCAAAGTGATAGGCTTCTTCCTTGAGAAGGTTATAGTTTTTATTCTTGAAACACAAAATCTCTATGTTAATAGAAATTTTTTAAGCCCTAAAGTGCCAAACTTAGCTTAATTTTTTTGTGACTAGAAAATATATGAAATTCATTTCTGGTTCCTAAGGTTTTCTTTTTGTAGGAGGCTTTATGACGGACAATCGCTGTTCTAAGAATGTGTTGTTCTGGTCATAAGGACGCCCTCTAGCGCCCAGTGGATTTCGCGTCTCATTTTTCTAATGTCACAAGAACACTTTAATTAAAATTTAATTATTATTTAATGTATAACGGACAACTCTTTAAAAATGTGTAAGCTGGAGGTTCTTACTGAAATGTGTGTCTATTCATTATTATTATTAACTGATCTTTTTCTGTGTTGTACCTACTTCTCAAATTCTGTACAAGGTGCAAGATCTTGTCATGCTAATGATGTTATGGTATTATATATGTTTCAAAATCCACTAGTCATCTAGAGGGAAAAAAAATAGTAGAATCTTTCATTCTAACATGTAGTCTTTTAATTAACTGTTTTAGTTAACACTTATTCAGCCTTGTTAAGAAAAAATGCCTGGCAGGCCATGTTCAATCACTTCTGAGTTTTCCTGTTAAAATATTAATGTTTAACACTGTGGTTTTCTTATATGTGGGTTGGTATAATTGCATACATTTCTCTCTTCCCCAATATATATATATGTATGACTATTGAGGATTGCTCTTTTGATCAGTGAGCAGTCATTAATGTAATGAGTTCCTCTGGCACCGGAAGTGTTTTAAGTGACTTTTCAACTACTAAGCTGTTAGAGAAATGTAAGTAATTTACCACTTTTTTTTTTTTTTCTTAGTGTAAGTTCAACATCATTTCTTTGAAACCCGCCAAATTGTTGGAGATCTCTATTAGTAATACTGACAGGAAAAAAAAAAAAGCCTAACTGTTGGAATTGCTTTCTTGTTTCCTGCATTCTAGGAAGGAATAGTTGAAAATCTCTTTAAATGGGCACGAGAAGCTGATCAGCCACTAAGAACATATGCAACAGGGCTTTTAGGAGGAGCTATGGAAAACCAAGATATCGCTGCCAATTACAGGGATGAGAATTCACAACTGGTAATGATCTCTTGATGCACACGTCTATTTACAGGACAGATATGTCTTTTTTTTTTTTTTTCTTTTTTTTGAGAGTGTGTGGTGGTACTCTCATGTATGTGTTAACATATACATTTTATAGTGGTTATAATATATTCACTCAGTAGCTCATACTTTCTATCCTTTCCTGACTGAATTTGCTGAGGCTGGGCTATGCAGCCTGGTTATTCTGTTACACTGTTCAAAAATGCCTATGAAAACCTAAGGCAAATACTGTACTTCTTGATGGGACTCATATTCCTAGTTTCCTTAAAGCAAAGATTTCGAAGACTTAGATATTGTGTGTGGTAGCTTAAACACTGAGCAGAAATGAAAGTTAAGTCAATATGGAGATAACTTCATAGGAAATGTTATATATTTTAAAAAGAATCATATGAAGAATAAATCTTTCACTAGTTTAATGTTAAATCTATATGATGATTATCAGCAGTTGAGATGACTGTCAAAAGGAAGAAGGTTAGGCAAGCTTGTTTTTCAGAGTGGTGTACAGTGTCACTTAGTGTGTCAAACCATAGATGCATTCTTCTAATTCTTGCATAGATAAGTCCTTCAGGAGTAAAAGCAAGCTCTTAGCTTTTCTAGAACTGCAGTTTATCAAAACTCCTGCTTTGAAAGGAAATGTTGCCTTTATTCTAAACTAGGCAGATGATGAAAAAAAGATGCAAGATAGTATGTGGTTCTTAATGGGTTTCAGACAACACTTCTTTCTCTTTCAGGAAAGTGAGTGAAGTTTTTTATTTATCTATTTATTTGTTTATTTTAGAGTAAAAGCTACAGCAAAAAGGGTTGGGGCTTTTTGTTCACTTTGAAATTGTTATTTCTCTGGGGAAGTGTGTACTTCGGCATGCCTGGTATTTTGTGGAATAGACTTCTTTATGTGATAAGAGCAGAGGTAAGAGCCAGTGCGAGGAAAGGAAATGTGTTCTTATGCATGCTGCTTTTGTGAAACAGGTGGCTTTGGTGCTTCGACGGCTGCGGGAATTACAGGTTACTGAAATGACCACAAAACAAGAAAACAAGCGTCCCAGTCCTCGGAAAGTGCCATCAGATTCTCTGCTGCCTTTGGATGAAGAGGCTGTGGATATGGATTATGGGGAGATGGCAGTGGATGGAGAGCAAGAAGAAGTGGCTGGGGATATGGAGATCTCCTTTCATCTTGATTCAAGTCACAAGACCAGTAGCAGAGTCAACTCTTCTACAAAGCTAGATGATGGGGGATTAAGAAAAAGCAAATCAGGGAAACAGCATGAAAGAGATGGCTTCCGGAAGGCCAAGCAAAAACTGGGCTTCTCTGCTTCAGAACCAGAGCGGATATTTGTTGAACTGTCCAACAGCAGCTGGTCAGAAATGTCCCCATGGGTGATTGGCACTAATTATACACTTTACCCTTTGACTCCTGCCATAGAGCAGAGGCTCATTCTTCAATACCTGACTCCCTTAGGGGAATATCAAGAGGTGAGCGTATATATGAAGGTGGGAGGACTCTGTCAATTCTCCTGACGCAACTGTCAGTGGTACTGTGGGGAAAAGTTGAGAGCTGTTTTATCGCTCACCAGTGTTTCCTAATATGACTAAGATCAGTAACATTTTCTGAATTGTTGGCTTTCAAATTGATGAAGTCATTATTTTGAATGGTACCTACCAAGTAATACTCGAACCTGAGCCTAGCAGTTGTCTGGAATAGTAGTTAGAGCACAGTGCTAGGAATCTTATTCCTGGTCTCTGTTAACTTTGATTATTTACATCATACAGGGTAAGTCACTTTGTTTGAAATTTTTTTCAAACAAAATGTGCATTTTTTTCCCGTTTACTCCTGGGAAGTTAGTGGATTTCATCTTTAGAACTCAGAGGAAATAGTGAGCTTAAAGTTCTTTCTGCAATGGTTTGTATGACTTCTGCAGTGTTTCTGATAAGAAATGGCAGTGTAGATGCAAATGCTTTTGAGAGCTGTTGTTACTTAAAATAGTTGAGCTACATCAGATTTACCAGGGTGTTTCCTGTTCCTTTTTTTTTTTTTTTTTTCTAACTATGAACTTCAGCTTAGCGTAGATCTGCTGACCGCCTTCGTCTTTGTAGATATTTCTAGGTGGTTTAACTGAATTTGAGATGGAGCAAAGCAACGCAGTTCTGCTTTTGTGTTATGCACTGTGTGCGTGTGCCCTGCTTCTGTGAGAACCAAAGAAGCCATTATCCCCCTAATACTCTGCATGCTGACTGGATCACTTCATACGCCAGGAATAACAGGAAAGAGAAATAGGAATTAGTGCCATAAAGCCATTACAAACAGAATTATGCAGAGGGTTTTGGTTTGTTACCCTGCTCTCCTGTTTCTTCTGTTCAGTTGTTGGGTAGTTGTCTTTGCACAGATGGAAAGTGGAACCTATCACCAGGGTGGTACCTATGTGGACTTACGATAGCTGCACTTGAAGGAGTGCCTTAAGATTTCCTGTGGCAGCTGTCATGCACGTTGCTGCAGTCAGCAGATGTATTACAAGAGGTCTGTTAACCTTTATTGCTTCCTATGGATGGAGCTGGTTACCACTGACCTCTCATAACAGGTATCTGTCAATAGGGGGAAACTGGGGGGTTTGAAAGAGTAAAAGTCAAAACAGACCTTGAATTTCCTGTGAAATGTTCAGCTAGCCTCCCAATGTTATTTTTCTCAGCTATTACCCATCTTCATGCAACTGGGATCAAGGGAGCTGATGATGTACTACATTGACTTGAAACGAACCAATGATGTGCTGCTTACTTTTGAAGCCCTTAAGGTAAATCACTTCTGTAATGCAAAATTGCACTGTAAATGGGAAAATCATGGAATGTATTTACATGCATCAAAGGCATATGTTTGTCTCCCTTAGGCCTGCATGTATACTAGGGTCCCCTGGGATTGGCTGCACTGTGTTTTTGTTTTTATAATTCTTGGGTATTGAAACTATTATTATTATTAGTTGTGGGTGAAGTGCCATTGATTTCCTCTGCCATTTACTGATCTAAAGGTGGTAAAAATTTCTTTTTCCATCAAAACCTTACACTACTACTGCTCTGGGATTCCTGTTATTGCCTGGGATATTTGTGAGGGGTAAGAAGCATAAGCATCCTAATCCCAGTAGCTCCAGAATGCCATCCTTGAGCCTGACGTTTGAAATCACTCACACATAACTGCTGTATCAGTTAGTAGTCACCCAAAAATACGGGAAAAAAATACAAGATAACCCTCTTTTAAATGAAACCTACAGCACAACAATTAATTCTTCTATGAGTTCCTTCCCTCTTCCACAGTGACTTCTCTGGCTTCAGTCTTCCAGTATAATCTTTCTGTTTCATTGTCATTTGCAAATTTATTTCCAAGCAGGAACATTCCTACAGAAGGTGTAGGTTACCTCAGCTGTGAGTGGGGTGGGGGTTGCAGTGATTCTTCCTGTCTCCTCCTAAAGTGTAAAACAAAGTGATTGCTGTCTTTTTTTGCTTGTTTATCTTCGTATGCTTATTTCTTGAATATGTTAGAAGTCAATCTTATTTGGAGCATCTAGTGACGTACTGTAACTGAAAATGTGCTAAATGTGACACGTGGCATTTAAGTTCTAATTTGTTTTCATCCAAGAAACATTTCTAATTCTGCACAGTTAAAGGGAACTTCTCAGACTGGAAAGAGTTCATTTCTGACTACCAACATTGAGGTACACAAGTAAACTGTTCAGAAGACAAACAAAAAGGTGCACAAAAAAAAAAAAAAAAATCATACCATCAGTCTATTCATTTTGTCATCTTTATTTACTGTATGTCTGCGGCGTCATTCTCAACTCTGTGCCTGCCATAATGTTCAGGCAGATGTATACCAAGCCATATAATGGTGCAAGTGTGGATAAGTGCTCATTTCGCCCTCAGACACCCCGAGTTACCTTAATATCAGTTCAGCATTAGTTTTGTTGCTACTTTAATGAATGCTAGTGCTGATACAAGGGGAAGGGCAGATGTGCAGAGTGGGGAAGAAGGGAAAGACTTGGACAGCATATGTTTGTGATAAGTTAGACTCAGCAAGCAAGCAAAAATTTCTTATTTCTAATGATCTGAGGTTGTGGAAGCCTATTCCCAAAGTCTGCAATGGAATAAATTGACCAGTTGAGGAGAGGAAGGTTGTCTGCTTCTTTCCAGCAGGATTGGTGATAATCTTAACGCTGTGGAGTGTCAGTTATTGTCTCAGGAGTACACCAACAAGAAATACACTAGCGAGGAAAAAAAAAAAAAACAACAAACCAGCCCTCAACATTAGTGTTTTCTTCAGGCATTAGTCAAGCAAAATAACTTATTAAACTGATAATATTTTTAATAAGGAGACATAATTGTTTTAAGTGCTGTATGAAAGTTATATGTAGGCCAGATATTACACTGTGCACTTAAATGTAACAAAAGGAGGAAATAAGGTGGATAAAGTGTGGAGTGCTTGTTTTCTGCCAATCTGTTTTTCTACAGCTGGAAGGGAGGAATTGATGACAGTTTGAACAATCTGCTTTCTTCTTTCTTTAGCATTTGGCATCGTTGCTGCTGCATAACAAGTTTGCAACCGAGTTTGTTGCTCACGGAGGCGTGCAAAAGTTGCTGGAGATTCCTCGTCCTTCCATGGCAGCCACAGGAGTTTCCATGTGCTTGTATTATTTATCTTACAATCAAGATGCAATGGAAAGGGTAAGATTCATTCTTTAGCGTAACTGCTGTAATTTTAATGATTTCAGGGGACTTAGTCTTCCTCCCTTTGTTCAAATGTAAGATAAATATCTCCTAAGTCAAAAAACAAATTTGTATGAGTCTCTGGTATGTGCCAAGGCAACAGAAAACGTAGAAATAATGGTGCATTTGAGTATTTTGTTTCAAGGGTGTGAATTTCAGTTCCCAGGGAACGTAACTGAAGACCTCTCTGTTTTTAGCATTGCCTCATTACTTCCGTTCACCCTTTTCACTCTATTGTTCCCCTTCCCTGAAGAAGGAAAAACTCCTTTCTCACCTGTCTTTCCTTTCCCACCTGTTCCAGCATTCTCCCGTACTTGAGATTGATTTTTTTTTTCTTTTTTTTTTTTTTTTTTTTCCCTCATCCACACTCCAGGTGTGGATAGCGTCAGTGTTATATGGTGCCTTGGTCAGATTCCAGACATCAGTGCAATTCCTTTGGTGTTGGCATGCAGCAGAAGACTGATGCATCGTGCAGGAAACAGCATTAAAGGATTTTGAGTTCTCTTTGGCCTGAGCTTATAAGTGTTGAAACAGCTGATAATGACGACTAGTTGCTCACCTCAGATTTCAGTATTTTTAAAAAATGCATCATAAAAGGTTCCTCCTGTCAGTTGATTACTGCTCTTCCAGCAAGAATCTTTCAGTAGACTGGTATATCAGTCTTCCATTAATCTTCAGTTTCCCAGATACTTGAAACAGTGATTCTGTTTCTGTTTTTCACACTGGCAGCAGCACTTGTGTGCTAAACCAGATCCAGCAACGAATCCAGTTTATTCTGTAGTTGCAGCTGTGCCAAGGGAAGGAGAGAGGGGAAAAAAAAAAAGAACTTCCAGCTTGTAAACGTTACTGCTGGCACATGGAGGATCCTGCTCTGAGATTCATTCACAGCAACTGTAAAATTATAGCCTTCTAAAGCTGCCCTGCTTTATGAGTGATGACTGTTTCCGTTCATGGCCTGCCTTGGAATTGTCTGTTTTTGTGTGGTTTTTTTTTTTTTTTTTTTTTTTTTTTTAATTCACTTGAAAAATGAACAATTTGAAGTAGTAACTCTACATTTCTGCTCATTTTGAATTTTGAATACTGTCTTGAGTGTTTTGATTTGACATGTCTGACACTCTTAGTCACATATATACTTGACTGGCAGAGGTTAAGGGCCTATATATGAGGATTCTGCTGGCATTTATATGGGTGAACTCAAAAACTTCTTGGTAACTATGATTGACAGGTCTGTCTTTGTGTCATGTCTTTTATGAAGGCAAGAAAGGCAAAATGAGTGTAATGTTTTCTTTCTTTTTGCTCATTTTGTCAGAAAATGGATCCTTGCTGTATATGTATTGCTTGGTGTTCCTCTGAGTTTCATTTGTCATAAGAAAACTGCTCTTTTTTTTTTTTTTTTTTTTTCTGGTTGCACTTGTTGCTTGCATGATTGTTCTAATGGCAAACCAAAGGCTCTGGCAGGGTGCTGCATGGACATTGCTTCTTCTTCATGTCCTCACAGCATGTCATAAAGTTATGTAGCTGCACGTGGTGATGTTTTCTTATCTACCACACATTATTCCCAATATTTACAAATATTTGGTAGAACAGATATGTGTTCTTTCCTCTCTTGTCTTTGGATATTTCAGAGGAAGCCAGTTTCGAGTGGCAGTTCATTGTACTTAATATGTGCCAAGCCTCATCTCTTTGGGTGGAGGTAAAGCTGGAACTGGTTACTCAGTCTCCTCTGTCAGTGTTCAACATACAGAAAGAGGGGATTAAAGCTTCAGCTCCCTGCGCAGTTCTTGTTGGCACTGACCTTGACAGAGGGTTAGAAGCTAATAAAAGATATAAACAATGTCAAAGTGCAGCTCTGAGCATGTGGTCTGCCCATCTCAGAGACAGGACTGAGGAAATAGACCAGCTAAGTTGTCTATTTCAAGAGAAAGTCAAGCTTTAGATTAGCACTTGATGGTCCTTGCTGTTCCCCTTGGCTTTGATACCGGAGTTTACTAGAACTTCAGCATAGTTTGTGGTGCTGTTAAATTCAGAAGAATTTTTGTTTCTTAGCTGAAAACTTGTCTTCTCTGGCTCTAGTGACACTCTCTTCAGATGCTTTGCTCTAGTGACACTCATCTTCAGATGCTCTCTTCAGATGCTTTGAAACTGGATGGACCAGTTGCTAGTCCTGTGTTTCCACATGATGCTCTTGTAGTCTCACTGAGGCCTTGTTTCACTGGTCTGGAAATGGGGCTTTTGTTGCATGTCTCAGATGTCAGTTACTCCCAGCTACACTAGGGACAGTTGTACCCTCTTTGTTTCAAAGAACTGACATCCTCCTCAGATTGTCCTCAGCAGTGTGTTTGAAGTCCTGCTCAAGAAAGTTCTTTCGCTTTCTAGGTGTGCATGCACCCCCATAATGTGCTTTCAGATGTGGTGAACTACACCTTATGGCTAATGGAGTGCTCCCATGCCTCAGGCTGCTGTCATGCTACTATGTTCTTCTCCATTTGCTTCTCCTTTCGTGCTGTCCTGGAGCTCTTCGACAGGCACGATGGCCTTCGTCGTCTGGTTAACCTGGTAAGACTTGTAGTTTTGTGTGTTGAACAGGGTTAAAACCACGTTTTGCACCCTCTGAAATTACTGAAGTGCGGAGAGTTCTGGTTGGTTTTGTTCTAGCTTGTTTGTTTATTCCTCTTCACTTCTCAAAAGGTAGGAAAGGTGAGGTGAGTTTTCTGAGTAACAGACAGGAGAATTCTTTTTGTGAATAACAGGATCATTGTTCAGAGGCTTGCTACTTCCTGTTAGCTTTTTGTTGCAGCTCCTAGGTTAAGCAGAACTCTCTCTGCCAGTGGTGGCTTAGTGGGAGAGTTCAGATGTTTCTCAGCATTCCACATGTGTGTCATGTTGTCATGCACCCTTCTGGATACAAATACATCCAACCTTGTTCCGAGGGAGGTATAGATGTGTTTGTGCTGTGCTTGGTAATCACAGTACCTTATGGACACAAACATACACTGTTACACTGTACAAAATCATCTAGTCCAACTGTCGTCCCACTACCATTGCTATTCACAAGCTACTAAACCACAAGGTGTCATAGGTTCTTTCCAACCTTGTGATTCTATGATTCTATGATAAACTGGTACTTCTGCATGGCATGGGCAGTCCTGATGGCTTGAGTTGGTACAAACTCAGAGACCTTGCCACTGCAGGGTGTAAGCACTTGTGCTGTGCAATATAATGCCTAATATAATACAACAGTGCCTCTAGACATTTGCTAATGTAACTTCTGGATTTTTTTCTGCATTTCCAGTGAAAGGGGGGAATGGTTCTTATTAGACTTAGCACTTTGTGTTTAAATGTTATCTGAACAGAAGAAGCTTTCATTCTGTGCCTGAGAGAGTCTGGTACAGATGACACATAAGCAAACTCAGTTTGGTTTTTATACAGGTGCGGCTGAGAATTGTAGGTGCTTTTTTTTTCTGAAGTGTGAACTGATGAAATTTTTTTTTTTCCACTCAACTTTTGTACTGAAGATAAGTACCCTTGAAATCTTAAACTTGGAAGACCAAGGAGCTCTGTTGAGTGATGATGAGATCTTTGCCAGTCGCCAGACTGGGAAGCACACCTGCATGGCCTTGCGGAGATACTTTGAAGCCCACCTTGCTATCAAACTTGAACAGGTGAAGCAGTCACTCCAGCGCACTGAAGGTGGTGTTTTGGTCCATCCACAGCCCCCATACAAGGTGAGCAGCATGCTGCAACCTCCCCACATTAACAAGGTCTGCATTATAGATACATAGATTGAAAATGTTGAGATGATTTTAATTGGTTGTGATAAATGATACTTGTCAGAGATTGTGTTTTTTAGGAATGAGCAGAGCAATACTGTTGTTGGACATTAATTTTTTTTTTTTTTAATTCTGCAAAAATGTGTGGTGTTTTGTTTATTTATAACTTTTAAAAAAAAAAATTGTGGCTTTTTGTTCTGAGGTAGTACCTTCATTTCTGGTTTCTGGCTTCATTTACAATGGCTTTCCATTGTAGTAAGTTGAAATGAAAAAACACTTTTTCACTTTTGCAAAAATCACGTATTTTTTAATGATTAACGTGTGTAAGGTGTTTGATTAGAAGATATTTTTTGAGCTGAAATGCAGGCTTATTTGCAATGCCATTCAGTATATTTTGTAGTCAGAAGTTAAAAACTTTAATTGAATATTTCTCAGACCTGTGTACTTTCTCATATGATTCTTTTGAGTGATAATCTGGTAGCTACTACACAGTAGCTTAAAAGCAGACTAGAATTTTAGAATAACTTTTTAAACTGGTCTAAGCTTTCTAGAACTGCAAAGAAGCAAAATGTATTATTAAACTTATTATTGCATATTACCATGGCAATTGCTGGATATTTTTTCTATAGCAGAGAATAAAACAAAGTAAATAATTTGCAAGAAAATAATAGTTTCAACTTTGATAAGACTCCAGTTTTCAGTTTAAATCACAGTGGTGAAGGACTTGATTTTTTTCTAATGTTCTCTTTCTAGTGATCTCTTTCTAATGTTTCCAACTCCTTTCCTGGCAGGCCTGTTCCTATACTCATGAGCAGATTGTAGAGATGATGGAATTCCTCATCGAGTATGGGCCAGCACAGCTCTACTGGGAGCCAGCGGAAGTTTTCCTTAAATTGTCTTGTGTCCAGCTCATGCTTCAGCTCATTTCAATAGCATGTAACTGGAAGACGTACTATGCAAGGTGAGCTGTTTGCTGTATTTCTTTAGAGCAGTAAGTTGTGACTTTGGGGCAGGATAGTCATTGAATTTCTAGATTCCCTCCTTCTCTTAGAGCGTGCAAGGCAGGTCGTAGGGGCCTGTGCTGTGGTTACGTGGTGCTTATAAAAGCATAGTGGAAAGCAGAACTAAAAACTTGAGGTGGAGAGATGCCATGAGAATCCTGAAAAACCAAGATGCCTCGCACCTTTGATTTGAGAAACCAGCATCACAGTACAGCTTAGGCACAGTTCTTCCTTTGCTTATCTTTTTGTTATAGAAGGGTTTTAGAAAACCTCTTAAGTAGAAGGTGAAGTCAAGACACATCTAATCCTGGAAAAGAGGTGGAAGATTTGGATGAAGTGGGCTTAGTTTATGCACAGTCCTCTGTTGCATCACTTTTATTCACTTATTGATACTTGAAGTATACTGAGTAGTTACATTGCAGAGGAGTTGTGAATATACAACAAGCCAGTATTTGAGAGGGGAAAAAGTCTGAAGATGAACTCAACACACAGTAACAGTGTCCCTAGATGATATACCACCAACTCTTAAACTCAGCATGTTTGTGGAGGGGCTTACCTTGTGATTCTACTTCTAGTTTTCTCCTGTATGGGGCACTGTGGTGATATCTTTCTGTGGGCCTGCTCCCCCACAGCCCACCCCAAAATTTGCAGCACTCTTACTCTTATAAGAGAAAGGGTACTATACCAGACTCTGGTAGAGACACTATTAGGATCCTGTCCCCAGTTCAGAGGGAGGATGGATGCAATGTTTCAGCCTCTGTTTATCCTAATGAGCATCTGATCTCAAGAGTGTTGGTGTAGTTCACTGATAAGTCACTGTCTGCTGTGGCTAGTTGTCATCAACTGTATTCTTGTCACCAGGACTCCCTTCTCCTTATTTCTGCTGTGAACAGGAGCTCTTTGCATAGCTTAGCTTTGAAAGCCTTTGAAATCTGTCCTGCTTTTGCAGTCCCTTCCCTCCCTCCCTCTCTCTCAAGTTGCATTCTCCTGGGTGATTTCAGTTCTCCTGCTTTTTATTCTCTGCAGCTGTTTCTTAACTGCAGCCTGGGTTAACTCCAACCTTTCCATACAGGCTTACAAGCCATCAATCCTTCTCTTTTTTTCCATTGTTCTGCTCTTCCACCTCGTGTTCAGCAGGTATATTCCACATACCTGTGTCTGTTAATCTGGTGCTGAAATTGCTTTTATCTATGTCATGTTTAGCAATAAAACTTGACAGACAGCTCCCCTTTGCTTCAGAGAGAAGACTTTTCTACTTCATTGGCAACGAAGTTTTTTAGACAGGGATATTTTTAAACTGAAATGCGTACAGTTAGGTTAGGTGAAGAAGCTTAGAATGCTTTTGTAGATGAGTCTACTTTGTGCTTCTGTAATTTCAAAATTGTGTTGCTTCTGGGAGCCTGTGGGCAGGGTGAGATGCATGCCAAACTGCAGTTGATAGTGTGTGTATTTACAGTATGTGAGCAGTATCTTCTATGAGAACCAGCCTTTTAGGAGCAGCACATTGATCAGAAAGCATCATCAAAAATATCAGATATGACAGGTTGATTTGTTATTAGAGTACACTTCTAAGAAGTTCTCATGTTGCTTTCAGGAACGACACAGTGCGCTATGCTTTGGATGTGCTAGCCATCCTGACTGTGGTTCCTAAAATCCAGCTACAGCTGGCAGAACCTGTGGATGTGTTAGATGAAGCTGGATCTACCGTTTCCACTGTGGGTAAGCTGAATGTGGTCTTGATTGATCGCACCGTTATCAATTGCCTTCTATGTGATTTTTGGTTGTTTTTTTTTTTTTTTTTTTTTCAGCTGGTTGTTGCTACATTGAGAAAAAGGGTTAAAATAATGTATACAAAGTTATAATTAGGGATACAGGTAAATGTGAGAGTAGACTGCAGTTAAAATTGTCGTGATTAATCTATGATTGTATTATAAATGTGAAGGTATGATCTGTGACTCACATTTGTTTTCAAGGGCTCATTAAGTACAGATGCAGGCAAATTTGCTTTTGTTATGGGACTATTAGGCTCCCTTGGCTTCCCAGAAATTTAGGTCTCCTTGGAAATATGGGAGAAGTATTGCTATAGATTTTGCAGAATCACATAATTGTAGGGGCTGGAAGGGACCTCCTATAGATCATCGAGTCCAGTCCTCCTGCAAAGCAGGCTACCTACAGCAGGCTGCAAAGTTAGGTGTCCAGATGGGATTTGAATATCTCCAGTGAAGGAGAATCCACAACCTTCCTGGGCAGCCTGCTCCAGCGCTCCTTCACACTCACTGTGAGAAAGTTCCTTCTTGTCCTGTCACCACAGACCGCTGAAGAGGTTGGTCATGTCTCTTTGACTCCCACACTTAAGATAATTATAAACATTAATCAGATCCCCCTCTGAGTGTTCTTTTCTCAAGACTGAACAGTCCCAGTTCACTCAGCCTTTCTTCTGTTTGAGTTATACTCTATACTCTGCTTTTGTTTGAGTTATATTCTAATTGGCTTCAGTATTCAGTATGCACATGAAGTGCACCTGGGTCAGATCTAAGGCCTATGTATTAAAGAGATCCTGACTCTGTGAAATGAAGAGGGATGATAGGTTTTGTGCAAAAGAAATTGTATTTTGCTTACAACTTTTTCTGGACTAAATACCTGTTTCTAAGTTTTTAATCTTCTGAAGTGGACGTGAAACATGTAGATTAATTTCATTTAGGAAGCTATGACATTATTTATTTTTTCCCCTTCATAACAAAGTCTCTTTTCTCTTTCTTGTCTACGTTGTTAATATCTTCTGCAGAAGTTGCTTTCTGTAGTAAGAATTAGAGGCATGCCTATGCATCTTCTCTGTGCCAGGTATGTCGGAGATGGCAATCCTGTGCCATGCCTGAGTCCTTGTTTACTGATATTGATGAAGGAGCATGAGAGTGTTTAAAAACAAAACAAAACCAAAAAATTTTTGTCAGGGAGGCAAGAGAATGTGTCTTATGCTAGTTAGGTTTAAAAAAAAAAAAAAAAAAAAAAAAAAAAAAAAAAAAAAACAACTTCAGAAATCCCCAGAATGAATAGAAA